TTTATTATCGAAAAAGAAGCCAATTAGTTGAAATTCTACGAGTTTTGTAACAAGTTGTAAATATCTTAGTGATACAATCTACTGACTTATACTTACGTTTTAAGGGAAATACAACTTGGCGCCAGATGGTCACATGGTTTGTTAAACTTACAACAAACACATGAAAATAATAACATTTTATCCTTTTTTGGCTAATCAGAAATTGATGCAATTTATTCCTAGGATTATGAGTAACTTGTGAAGATGATAGGATCTTTATGTTATTTAAATGCAGACTAGACAGGTCAAAGGTAAGGGGCTAATATTTAATGATAATAGAATCACTCTAAACTCTTGTTTAAGTAATAGTCATGAAATCAGCTAATTCAGGTAGCTTCCTTAGTTTCAAAACCATATTTTTACTACTGTACATTGGAAATAGAACTACATTTTCCCATTTCAGCTGCATTCGACCTCCTGGCCTGATGCGTGATGTCACCGAATCGTTTTCTCAGTATATGTCCAATCCAATCCATCTCCACTGCATTCTGCATATTTGTTGGGCAATGGGTTCTTTTCTCCTTGGTTCGTTGCCAGCCGGAGTGGGTTCCTCGTTGCTTATTCTAGCCATCTGATCTTCAGTGTCACTATCGAGTTGGCGTAGGCGGCAGCTGTCGATGTGATGCATGTCTTCAGTTTGTTGGAAATGCTTTTCGTGACGCTCCAAGTCTCTGAACCGCCACATAGAAGCACTGACTTGACTGATATTAGTGATGAAAATCCGGATGTTGTTCACGCTTTATGCTGAGTGGAGTGGAGGGCAGTGGAGTGCAGTGCAGCGATCTCCACACTGATTGTTTTCGATTAATTCAGGAAGGGCTGTCTTGCTGTCTTTCCGATCCTCGCTTTGACGTCCTCATTTGTGCCGCTGCCTGTAGTTGAAACGATGTTGCCTTGTCTATGTGGTAGGTGAAAGAGACAACTTCCTCTAGATTTCTGCCGTTGTTGGTGATTGATGCTTGTTGTTGTTGATTGAATATCTCCACCACCTTTGTCTTTTCTACGTTCACCTGAAGGAAGTTCTGTGCTTGCTGCCCTACCTTGCCTCTTCTGCCAACTTGAATTCGCGATAGAGATTTCACTGCTATTCTTTCCTCTGGTCTATGGTAATGCATAGTTTAACGTTGGAATTTGGTCGGCATAAGATTTACTTTTCCAAAATCTGTTGAGGCTGTGGTTTTTTAATTTAAGCAGCTGAAGTTCAATCAATAAGTCAGGAAATGGAACCCAGCTTCACTCACGGGACATTTGGTAGCCAGTTGGTACTGCTAATACTCACACATTTCTGTATAGCTCACTACCTAGTGAACGAATATGCATAAGATGATTAAATTTTCTCGAAAGATATGCTTAGGAAATTGTAGGTTTTTGTGTGTAGCGTATTACGCAAAACGTTTCAGATTAAATATTTTGTCAAAATATAGGGGAAATGTAGCCTCGTTAAGAAATTTTCTCAGTATCATTTACTTATAACTGCTGGTCGCTTTTATTTATATTCAACAGACGTTATGGTTCCACATAACTTGAGCGTCCACTGTACTATAAGTGTAAAACTTGGGCACTGTGATAGAATGTAACTCCATATTAGATTTGTTTATTTGATATATAGCCCACAGTGATACAGTATTATTTACTTGATTACATCTCGAGCATAAATTATTGCTCATAATCATATCAATGTAATTACACTTCTTTCGATATCTGATTTTATAGTCCTGTCACCTGATTTTTCTTTGTTTTTTTATTGGTGGTAAAGTTTTCCATATCTCCGGTATAGGTGTTGGGTGTGGATTCGATGAACAAAGATTCAGTAATTAATCTCTCTTTCCACCTAGCTATATTAGAGTTAAGTACAGTGGTTTTGTCCCATCCTATTGTGTGGTTGTGTGTTAATGAATGTAATGCAATGGCTGAGTGTTTTTCTAGGTTATTGATCTTATTGGGGTCTGCCGTTCTATGCTTAGCTAAATTCCTATGTTCTGTTAATCTAACTAACCCCGACCGGCTAGTTTGACCTATGTATTTGACCTGACTCACAGTCATTACATGGAATTTGGTAGATTATATTATTTTGCCTAACTGATTCTATTGGGTCTTTTCGCCTACAAAGCTTACCTCTAAGTGAGTTTGTTGGTTTAAATGCCACCCTAATTCCAACCTTGTTGAGAATCCTACGTATGGTTTCTGATGTTTCTTCCTTGTATGGTACCAATCAAAAACCAAAGAAAAAAAGATGACAGGACTATAAAATCAGATATCGAAAGAAGTGTGATTACATTGATATGATTATGAGCAATAATTTATGCTCGAAATGTAATCAAGTAAATAATACTGTATCACTGTGGGCTATATATCAAATAAACAAATCTAATATGGAATTCCACTGTACTACAGAACTTTGTTCAGATAAAATTAAGCAAAATCTAGTAACTTCTGAAATTATAAACGTTAAGATAACCGTTATTTGCTCAAAGATTTCATTGTTTTAATCAACTTGGTTTACCTAAATGTGTAGAGTTTATTTTCATGCTTATTAGTTTAAAGGACAGTTTTTTTAAACATATACCTGAAGGTATTTTTTCCCATATTTTATAAATCAAGTGCTTATGAATTCGCTTAGCGTAATGATGAAACGTTCAAGAGTAAAGCTTAAAGCTCGAAGTTATCAAGTAGAGAGGTATTTGAAAGGAGATAGCATGAAACAAATTACTTGTACTGAATAAAAATTCTCTTGCACCGATTCTATCTATTTTGGAAAAAAAGGTTATGTTATATTTTAATTTCACTGAATTATGAAGTACACATTTCAAATTTTTCGGAAGTTGGTTGAAACAATTGTAAGCAAACATTTGAAAACTTCTAACTATTGACTATTGAAACCTTTACATAGTTAAACAGTCAAAAAATATTAATCCGAAATATTAATGAATAGAAATATGTTGCCATTTTTGAAGTTTAATTCAGTGTTTCTAGGACATACAAAAGCGTTAACATGATTATAAGTAGTATAAGAAGTTGAAACGAAATTTAGAAGTCAAAAATCAAACGTTATGGTAGGAGTAGTAGTGTTCACTTATTTCAAGTTCATTGAGTAATATTTTACTCGCTAAGAAATTTCATTTTAAAAAGGATAACTGATTTCATTCCATTTAATATGCTGTTGTTTTAAATAAGATTGAAATTCATATTCTGAAATTTCTGGAAGTCAACTGATCGGTCTAGTTATGACGCATAATTTCTAATCACTTCGATTATAGACAGGAGGATTATCATCGAATTCTATTTACCTTAATAAATCTGTTTCTGTATTTTTTTGAAATTTTTCTTCCATCTCGTTCTCTGTGCATTATTTCATTCTTTGCTTTTGTCTAGATTGATTATTTCATTTTTTTGTGTAGATTTTTGTTACCCATTTGATCTGGTATCTGTTATTTTGCTCTGTTAACAACCTTTAACTTATCATTTGATACTTATGATAAGGAAGATGAGGATAATGATAAATCATAGATATAAAGAAATATTCGGCTAAGAAATTGTTAGAAAATCGGAGGAAGACAATCACTATCAAGCATCAAATTCAATCTATCTCTAAAGAATCAAAGATAAAATTTTTAAAATATAATCATATTATGACTAAAACAAACTCATTATTGATGCTAGCAAGAATATGTACAACAGTGTTATTTTACAGTTTTCATTTTTCCAATCCATATTATCATAAATTTGAAGTGAATTTACTCTTGTATATGGTTATTTTATTTATCAAAGAATTCCTAATGTTGTGTACATCATTTTAACTTCTTATGTTTACCGATGTAAATGATGATTATGATGGTCACTCAAAGTTTATTTCATCGAAGGTATCTGTCTACTTATACAGTATTACTTGTAGTTTCCGATGGAAGTATTGTTTTTTTCTTATTTTACAGGTAATTCAAACTAAATTACAAAACTGTTAAACTCATTTCCTCATAGAATAATTTCAGAATAATGATATCTAATGTTCAGAAATTTCAGTACCAATATTTTCAAGTGATAAGTGATCTTCAAATTAATCTATACCTGTTATTGTGAAACAGTAAGTTGGACTAGTAAAGAGATATATCAAGAATTCGATGGATGCTGATGATGTCTTCAGCGAAGCTTAGGACAGATGAGTCATATCAAACGTATTTCAAGTTTATGAAATGTGAATAACTAGGAGAGTTTATTGTTTTAACATTTAAATGTCCTAGTTAAGGTGTGCCTGTGTTGTTGTACAGTTGTTAGTGTTTTAATTTTACATAGTACAGGCATTTTAATTGTACTGCTTATGTTATTATTCTATATAATATCATTGTAAATTAAGAAACAGAAAAATGTATTCATTCTTATGTTCTAAAAAGAGTATTTTAGAGTTTTTATATTGCTGTTTGTATTCAAGTCTTAGTGGGAACAACATATTTCATTGGAGAGCAGCCAGATCCAGTTGACGAGTCCAAAATAAGAAGAAATGGGTATCCTGGATTCCACTGTTGATTACTATCCATCACTACGGTCAAATGGGTATTTTAGACTGTTCATAAAATAATTATTATGTTTTGCCTTTAGGTTTCTTATAGTTTGTTGGACTAGATGAACTAGAATAGAATATACCAGTTATTCAGAACTATCACTTTGAATAACGTATGTTTTCCATGTTGATACAATTGGTATGTAGTGCGCTGAATCATAAGTTATACCAATTTAAGTATATCAGGAGAAAACCATCCTGGATAATTGAGATTTATCTGAGTATTCACTAAAAATTGAACTATGATTTTAATGGTGTACTTCACGGCAGATTTTAACTGAATAAATTGGCTAATCATGCTCATAATATTCACCAATTAATAGAATAAAGCAAGTAATGTACCTCACTCTTCAAATTTTTTTTTATCTAATCTGGAATGTACACTTTCTTTTTTTATCTACTTATCTAGACCCCTTTGTCACCAGCGGTTACAGCACAAATTCTCGAAAGTTTGAAGTTACCAGAACATCCGTTAGCTAGAGTTACTGATGACAGGTGTGCGTCATGTGCTACACGTTTTATTCAACTAAAGATCGATGCACTTAGTTATGTTAGAAGAAGTGTGTTATCAGCAACAACGGGAAAGTTGACAAAAGTTTCGCCTAAATTGATGAGACTGAATCAGGATCGGATGAACCCTTTACCGGTTGATACTGCCCCTTGCCAGTCAACAGAACAAGATCCACATAAATCTAAATGGATTAGGTGAGTTATTTGTGTGAATTATAGTTCTGCATTAACAGTTACTTTTTGCTGTTTCCAAAGCTTGTTAACAATTTGTAAAGATTCACTTGATGGTGGCTAGAAGTAAAGTCCAGAACGTGCATTTAATCCTATTCGGTGATCATTATCCGGCTTTACCTTCATTCTAGTGAGTGATAGTCTCTGCGCTGAAACTGGAATCCAGTACCCATCGCTTCAAACGTGAAAGCGTAATCCATTAAGACTTATTTTCTAATAATTTCTCACTGAGATTTTTTAAAATCTGAAGGCACAAATACCATAGAAACACCTTTAAGACTGTAGACATGATTTGCATGATGTTGACCAAGTCTCAACACTGAATTATTCATCGTCATAATTTTCGCTAAATCATAGCTGTAATCTTGACGATTCTCAATTTTTCTGAATTGGACTGAGCATCCTCATTAGTTTTTGCCTAATTCAAAACTAACAACTCATGAGTTACATTACGGTGGTTGTGTCGTGAAACCAACATTTATTTACAATGTTTATCAACAGTCTAACCTAACTATATCTTGTAGCTGTTTCGTTTTAAATCAGCTCGTGGTTGAGGTGAAAATTCAAACATTTCATTGTATTACTTAAAATTATTAAGTAGTAGGCCTAGAAATAGACATTTTTCGCTGAAGAAACAGCGAGGAAACGAAAAGGGCGAATCTTGTCAACATATGGTCATTTCGCTTATTACATATTTACAAAAAATGACATATGTTTTTGTCACATACAACAAGTATATATTCATTAACAATTATGGGACACATGACCTGTATAGTTTTATAGTAATGGATGGCTGAAATACAACACACACAGGTTCACAACACTCATGCATTGTATGTATCGATGCACAATGAATGACTATTAATCATATTGAATAACCAGCATAATCTAGGGGCTACTGGACACTGAGGTGAGGGGTGTGATTATTATCGTAAAGAAGCTCAGATCGCACTCATGTGTAATTATTAAAATTCTTATTTCAAACACGCCGATATTTATCCAAATATAAATTAAATCGCGTGTCAACGTTTTAATCAGTGCCCAACATGAATGAAATTATCCTGTCAGTTCCTGACCAGAACTCCTGTAAGTATTTTTTCGTTTGTGTTAATAACCCGAAAATACTCTTATGTAACAGCTGACGCTGGAACTTCAAAAACGATAAAAGATTCCTCATGAGAATGTTTTACTTCTACTTCAGTTGTAAGAGAGAAATATTAACTTAAAGTTTCGCTGTAGCCTCTTTGTGTGACAGTTCATTTTTCCAAATCCTAAGACAAATGAAGGAATTTGTACCATATTCAAAACTATAAATATTAGTAAGTATCATGTCACTTAAATCCAGACATTACTGAAGAGGTAAAAGAAGGCATCGAAAGTATTGTATCTAGCATTTAAACTTTTCTATATATTAATATTTTATTCGGACTTTCAAGATCTCCTCAACCTCATTTTGAAAGTAGTACTGGTTTAAAGAAAGTTTAATTCGCGTCGACGCAGTTTTAGAGGGTATAATTTTGAAGTAACAGCATTAGGTGAATTTTTCATGCTCTGCAAATGACACTTCTCTGTAAAGCCTTCCGGATCAATGAGCTTCGTCTAGACAAACGAGGCAAAGCTGAAGAAGGAAAATCAGAATTCTTTAAGTAAAACACTTATGCATCGAGAGACCTGAAAAAAACATAAAGAGCGGTTTTACTTATGTCCCTCTTTTTTCACTTATAGTCAGGTTGGGTTTGATGAAGAGACTTGTACACACAACGGCGGTACAAAAGTGTTTATCACTTTCCTAAACCAGTCATTCACTAATGAAATTCATTGCAACTGGGATATCAAATGCGACTGACTTAGAATTGAATTTTACATACTAATACATCCTAATGCATAGCTTCTGAGTGATATAAAGTTGCGCTATTAAAATCCTCAAATTGTAATGTCTTCTGTTAATATCATGTTTCTTGATGAAAAAATTTTCAGTTTAAATAGAATGAGTAATTTAAATAAAGCTGTACACTAAGCAGAGATGTCCTATTTCATCATGTGCCAGCTAAAAAACCGTCTTTCTTACGATCCACTCTCCTTGAATAAAGTAAAAAGACTGACGTTAGAAGGATTACCATGCATGTATTTCTTGGATTCTTCCCAACTGCTTCATCACCTACAGAATACAATGCTGTCGATTACAAAAAGCATGGCCTACACCGTACTTTCATAAGTTGGCAAGAATGTTTTGATAAGAATGAAGATAACAAAGGTGCAGACTGAAAAAAATTAGTTAGGTTTCATATTGTTAAGGCTATTTAGAGGTTAAATATCTAAACAATGATACAGTGAAAATTCTAGTGAGTGGAGAACATGTGGAAGCGATTTATTTTACACTGTACTTCTAGGTTTGGTATAAAGTTTACTATAGTTTATTGAACAAGTTTGCATTATATTTAAGAATAAAATAAACACAATTCAGAAGGTAGGAGTAGGATTAGATATAGATTAGAAGGGAAAATGGAAAACACAGGTTCAATCAGTCAGCATGTGTTACTCCAACCAGTTCACTCCTTGTACAAACGTTTTCACATGAATGAGTTATCCCAAATGAGTAATGCTAATGCTAATAGTAATATAGACAATAATGTATTAAGTAAAATAATACTAAAATAACCATTTACTTACTTTCACAAAGTTGGTGGGCAATTTTTTTCACAGTTTTTCTCTTTTAACACAAGGTGTTTACAATATAGGGTAAGGTTTAGTTCTTTTTAAGGCTACAGTAGCGCAAAATCCTGCGATATCTACTAAGCCAGTTTTTCTCTGTTATGTTGACGTTTATCAGGAGATTCTAATGCATTAAATTCTTTTACTCTGCTTGAAAGGAAGTCATTTAGAACCACTTAAAGCCTACGATGACGGTTCAGGTACAATTGAACCAGTCTTTTTTTCTTTTATAAAAACAGGAGTAATGAAAAATGGTCTATGTCTGATACGGAATGCAGAAGATTTATTCTTCAGTTCCTAAGGGTATCATTCTTTTTATCCAACTCTTCTCCTATATTTAGAACTTCTCGACCAGCTGCGAAAGAAATTTTGTCTAACTTTTTGAGATGTTCTCATGAGCGATGAAACATTAAATAGAATCTGATAGTCAGTGAGAGCAGTGTCAGCGATTTATTCGAAGAAATCGAAAACAGACACTAGTCCAAATATAAACTTCCAAGAGACATCACTTAGTCACTTGTCTAACATCTGTGGTTAATTTCACTTTAAAAATCTATTTTGTTAACCATTACATGCTTTGCAACAAACAATTACAATACAGTGGTCACAAGTCAAAGTTAGGAACCTGAAGACGTAGTAACCAAAATCTCGACAGGCTGCCGACATAAAACTTTAGCCAGATCATTAAATTCTGAAGCAAAATCATGCAGGTTGAAGAAACTACAGCCAATCGTGACGTAAATGCCTTTTATTAAGACGGAACAGCAATCATTTAGATATTTAGGATGATATTTCAAAACAGTGTAGTCAATTTCAACTCTGTAGAGGCCATAGGATTCATGGAAGAAAGAAAACCAGTTAAATACCAATACAAAGAGCAACACCGCTAGGCTTCTATAAACAACTGCATGAATCTTTTCACAACAACTTGAAATCATTTAAAGAGACTAAATTAGCACCATAATTTCTATCGACTCAGGCTTGCAGCAATTTTAATGAACCCGGATTTCGATTTATATTGAAAATAAAAACGACAGAAAGTAGTGTATTCTTTTCGGCGAAAACGTGTAGTATATACTTACTATTTTAGGAACAATAATTTGATCTCCTATTGTGAGACTTCGAGCCCGTCAACATCCACTATTATAATTTATGTTTCTGATGTTCTCATGAACGTGTGAAGTGGTCGGCTGGTAGCATAAAAAATAGAGAGACTTAAAATTACAACTTAGTGGCCTACTTTAATGCTCAGTGTTATCTGAATATGAATAATTTGATGAAACATATTCAGTGAAAATGAGTCTTCAGCTCGACGTTCAAACAGACTTTGACTTTACCTATGCGTCCATGCACTATATAGCTTTATTCATGTGTATCTGTCGACAAAAGGTTCTTTTGTACGCAAGTTTACATTTTTTTCACTCCTGCTCATCTGAAGGCAACTGTTAAGGTAATATTCTAAAACCACTTTTCCACACGATGTTACTAACATTTATGAAAGTAGTGAGGTAGAAATTACAAAAGTGAAAACAAGTTGAATATCAACTTCAGCATGCGGAAGACAAGATTTTCATAGAAACGCATATTTTTTCGAATGTTATTTTCTAAGTTGTCGTATTTCAACTGTTGTGTTTTTTTTCGAATTCTGTTCGACGTTCTTTCACTTCTTTCAAACAGTAATAACTGTGGTCATTTATTTATGGGTTACACTATTTTTCTATTTATTGCTTCACGATCATGTTATTCAGATATATATATGAGTCACAGAAAATGTTCTGTGACCTTGTTATATGAAGATTCATGTAGAATTATTCAGCCAGTTGAAAGACATTTTTGTTCGAGTAAAATAATACTTCACTTGGGTTGATAGATATCTCTTGTGCAGTTTTTACGTTGTCAAATGATAAGAATTTATGAAATAGGGACTTTAGTAATGTCTAATAGTGTTGCCTAATGTCGTATACATTATCTGTGGAAGTTAGTTAGACGCTAAAGGGTTCTTGCCGATGAACTGAAAACATCTAACAGCGAAAAAGCGATCAGTGCATTTTCATGCCACTTGTCGTAGTAACCATAATACAAAGTCGATTATTATCCTTTTGTCACCGATGAAAGCTTAGGACTGTGAAATTACACTGGTTACCCACTGGTCACCATTTAGTCTAATAGAGGGTTAGCCGTGACTTGAAAAGCTTAGCGATAAAGTTTCTGACTCACGTACTGAATGAAGCACATTTTTGCGACCAAAAACC